TAAGTAAGTAAGTAAGTAGAGAGAGAGAGAGAGAGAGAGAGAGAGAGAGAGAGAGAGAAAGAAATGCAAATTTAACAATTGATTGGATAGGATTGTTAATCGATTAAAACTGGATTTGCTTATTGTTTTGTTTGAATTATTTCTTCAATTTTTACTTCTTCTACATTTTCTTCTTCTTCTTCTACACATTCTTCAATCTCAACTTTTTCTTCTTCGTCTTCCATTCCTTCCTTTATATTTCTTCTTGACCAATGGAAAATTTGACAATATTTATCAAGAAAATTTCCAGTTTTTACGATTTTAATATTACATTTTCAACATTTCATATTTACTCTTCTCTCTTCTTCATGTACACAAATGCTTTACCACTTCGTTGTTGCAGTGACAGTAATAGTGGTAGTAGTAGTAGTAGTAGTAATCGTTGACAAAACTAGTTATGTCACTTTTGTAGAATTGAGAAATTTGTTAAAAAAGGATGAAGAGAAGAAGAAGGAGAAGGAGAAGGATGAGATAAAGAAGGAGAAAAAAGATGAAAATATGGAAGTGTAGAAAAGTATAGAATATTAATTTATAGGAAAAAGTATATATTTGCATTTTCTTTTTTTTCTTTAAAAGATAATTTCATATGTTGATCTTATCAAACTTTCGCTTTACCTAACTTATTAACTTACCCGAAATTTTCTCATCCTACCTAAATTAGCTGATTTTCATTCAATCATTTAATTAATTTAGGTTTTCTTGAAGTAGTAAATAATTTAGCGCTGCTATTGCTACAACGAGTTATTTTGCAGTAATTACTTTGTTACTTTTAGGGAAATTTTCCAATATTTGTTAAAAAATTCTCCTATCCAAACAGTTTTTAATTTCAAACGACAAAAAAAGAACGAAAAGAAACAAAGATTAATATAATTAATTGAAAAATAACTAGTGCTACATTCTAAAATTTAAATAATACTTGGCAATAATTCACCTTTAATCAATCTTAACCTATAATAAATCGCAAAATATTTCAATCAAAATCAAATATTTTAAATGAAATTAAAATTAAGTATTATTAAAACTCCCCTGAATTATGTATCGTCTCACTGCTTGATGATAACACGAAATCATTTTTTGATCCAGCTATTGGCATGAACATTTTGTTCATTTTCATCAGCTGATGTCATCGGTTCATCTGTTGATGCCATCATATCTGCGCCTATTGAACCCATTGATTCGTCATTTTTTATTTCCATCGTATCGTCATTTGGAATCACAACTTGCTGATCGTCCACTTCCATAACTTTCTCTTTTGGTGACATAACTTTGTCCACTGATTCCAAAGATTCATCCGTTAACATCATTCCATCATCTTTCGGTGTCATAATTTGATCTTCTACTTCCATAGCTTTCTCTTTTGGTGACATAAGTTTGTCCACTGATTCTAAAGATTCATCCGTTAACATCATTCCATCATCTTTCGGTGTCATAATTTGATCTTCTACTTCCATAGCTTTCTCTTTTGGTGACATAACTTTGTCCACTGATTGTATAGGCTCATCCACTAACATAGGCTCATCTATGAATACTCCTTCGTCTGTTAGTATCCCACCGATATCCATTGCTATCATCACTCTATTTTTGTTTTTACATTCATTTTGTTCCGCATTTCCTTCCATTGATCCTACAGCCTCATCCACTGATATCACATCTTCTTCTGTTGATATCATAATCACATCAATTGGTGTCACATCACTATTATTTCCTGATATCATAGGTTCGTCTTCCTCTTCAATACCACAATCATTTGATGCCATAATTTCTTCTGTTGACCCTCTAGCCTTTTCAATTGATATCGTATCTTTTGCAGTTATCATATTCTCGTCTACTGATAACATACCATCATCAGTTGTTGCCACATTACTACCAGTTGATACCATCACTTCATCAAATTCTTTCATATCTTCGTTTTCGTCTATTCCCGCAATCATATCTTTTCCTTTTTTTAGCACCACATCATTGGTACCATTCAGTACCATATTCTCAGCTCTTGATACCGTAACCTGATTTCCTACGTTTTCTGGTACCATAACTTGCTTCTCTCGTACCATACTTTGAAATACTTCCAACAAAACCATGTACTTTCTAAAAAGTAAAATTTCAAATCGGTATACTTTCCAAACCACCTTCGAAATTTCAATTCGATAAGCTCTGTAGAAGACACCGCGGTGAACGCAACATGCAACACTTTCGTTCCCTCTATTGTTCTCTAACAATTATGTTTTGAAGTGTATAGCATCCTCTGTCATACTATTTCTCTTATCATTCACTTCACCAATGCTATTTCTATGCTACAACATTTCGTTGCATTCTCTGCAGTAATTTGGCCGATCATTTTGGAGAGCGTGGAATTTTGTTACCTTGGAGAAATTGATTTTTAAAAATAGGGAGAGCTATATTTCATCTTGGGTTCAAAGGTCAGATTGACGAAGGAGAAGAAAAAGTGATCCATATGGAACTCGTTAATCTTCATAGTTTGCTTTCATTAAAGATATTTTTATTGATTTTTCACTTTCAACAATGTATTGATTCAGATTCCTACTGCACATTTTATGAAGGAGGTCCGTTAAACAAGTTTAAAATTGCATCTTTTAACGCAAATTTATCATTTAATTTATCATGACGCGTTTAAAACATGTTATTTAGAACACATATAAAAACGTTTAAAATTATTTTAATGTAGTTATAGTGTTGGAATACGTCAAAACTATCGTGCTAAAATAATGGCTTCTGTTGGTTATGCTGTAAGAAATGCATCTCACGCTGGATCTTGGTTTGTTTGTTTTCTGTTTTCTGTTCTTTCAGTATACGTGTAACGTAATGTTTTGTAACACAACGTGAACTTTATTCTTTTATACATCCTATATTTCAGCTCTATCTTTTAACGATGAAATTGTTGCAACGCATAACCCGATTTCTTTTGTAATATTACATTATTCTTTGTGTTAGGTATACGAACGATCCAAGGAAATTGCATCGAGAATTAACAGAATGGCTTGGTGCTGCTGACTCACGTCATGCGCAATCAGCTCGTGCTATTATTTCACCGTAAGTGTCATTGTTTTACGACAGTGGAAAATTAAACACTGCACATTTTAAAGCCAACAATTTTTACTTCGACTAGATTAATTAGGTTAAGTTTTGCTAGCCCAGGTTATGTATGAATATCACTAATTTTGGTATCAATTATTCATACAGGATGATAACGTTAGTAGCACGCTAAAGGATAGCACGCTAAAGGACAGTATGGATTAATAGCAACGAAGTCACTTTTCGATCACAGTCTTCAAGTATGATTAAGTTTTTAATTTCAACATCTCCTTTCCGTCATATTTCATCCATTCTTTCCCTTATCTAAGAATAAATGAAGAGTTGTTAGTAGTAAGAGAAGAGAAAGAGAAAGAGAAAAATATGAAGGAAGTCTCGAGATTAGGACAAAGCAAATGTATGGGTTTGGAAGCTATCTCAATTTCCGAATGTATTTTTAACAAGTGGTGCTCTTTTTTCAGACATGCTGGTTATTCATACAGCGGCAGGATTGCAGCTTTTGCCTTCAAGCAAATTATTCCTGAAACTGTGTGAGTGAAAATTCTATGATACTTGCAAGATTACCTTATTTTTATGATTCATCAAAAGTAAAAATTGCGTGAATTATTTGTGGATTGTTTAATCGACCTGTTTACTAACTCATCTTTATAAAATGAAATCGCTTCTTACCTGGTCCTTTATCACCTATTTTAAAGAGCTCCTGAGTAAGTTTACAATAAGGCTACACGAAAGATCTGAACCATAGCTGGATCAATCTTCTCGGCTTTCTGCATGCTGCCATGTTGTTTCCATATGCGTCATTTCAGTGAAGCATAGACGGATGGATGTTTCTATTATCATGAAATTGAATAAGGGAAAGAAATCGCAAAATTGTGTTCTTGCACACAGATTTAAGACCATTAAATTGATTGTGAACTTTTTTGATAAATATTTAGTTGCTTTCATACTTTCTTTGCTGAAATTTGCACGTCATCTCGTATAATTGTTATAGTAGTACTATATTCGTATTGGGACCGTCACACGTGATGTCGTTGGATACTTGTGCATTGTCGACCTGTTCACGTTATCGTACACCTATTGGTGACCTTCAAATCGATCAAAGAAGTATTTTTTGTTTCCAATTCCTCCAAATGACATCAATGGTTTATTAATCATAAAAGAAAATAAACTCCGTTAGACTGATATATTGTTCATACGGGTGATTTTTTATTATGCATATATAAAACGATTAAACCTTTTACGAGATGTTTGTATAGGTTTTGGTGGTTGTGGTGGTGTGGTGATGGTAGGAAGAGGATTAAATAGATCGGTCATGACCATGCTATGGCTTAGCATTATCATGAGCATCTCTGAAAAATCATAACAACCTTAGCATTTCTCAAAGTTGTTAACGACTGTACAATGCTATACCTGTATTTTATTAATGAACTTGTTCCTCATACTTAACGTTAAATATCATAACTATTGTAGCAAATACGGAGCTGAAAGAAACTGGAACCTGTATAATGCTATATCTGTATTTTATTAATGAACTTGTTCCTCATACTTAACGTTAAATATCATAACTATTGTAGCAAATACGGAGCTAAAAGAAACTGGAGCTTTTTCGTTGATGGATTTGCGTAGTGAAGAAGCGGAACATAGCATCGAAATGCAGTTGCCTTACATTGCAAAAATTATGGAGAAGTATATTTTTATTGGATTAAAACAACGGATTTGTTCTAAGATCATTGTGGGACGACGAGATTTTCTTTTCTTTTTTCAAATCTATTGACTAAATTTTTTATTGCAGGCAGTCAGCGAATGGTTACAGCATTGTGCCAGTATTGGTAGGATCACTTTCACCTTCAAAACAAGCCAGTTATGGCAAAATATTTAGCAAATATCTGTCGGATCCAAAGATAGTTTTTGTCGTCAGTTCCGATTTCTGTCATTGGGGTATAGTAGTTTAAAAATGATTTTTTATTTTTCTGATGTTAGTCGTAACTATTAATATCCTCCAAACAGTTGCCCAATTATGAAGAAATCTGCTTGAGAAAATATCTTAGTGCTTAATTAAAATAAGGAAAAGCATGACTCTGAAAAGCATGGCTTTACTTTGTTCAGTTTATTTACTGATTAATGCATGCTTAAAGGAAGTCGATTTCATTTCATGCCACATGACAATACTACCGGTGTACCAATCTACGAACAAATTGCTGCTATGGATAAACAGGTTACACTCTTTCTTTTTTTTTCTTTTTTCAATTTCTTTTTCGCCGGCGAATCATAAATCTAATTTTTAAAAAGGAAAAAATGAAAAGAAAAAGCAGTGAAAAGTGATAAGTGTGATCCAAAGAAGGATGATGGTTGTTAAGTTATTCTTGCAATTAGCGAAGCAGAAATGTTGAAATTACACCCTTGTAAATATGATGATCAGTTTAATGTCAAGGCTTGCCATTGCGTCCTAACCGTTGTCTTTTGGATGTTTTCAGGGCATGGATGCAATTTCTAGTCTTAATCCAGTCGCGTTTGGAGAGTATTTGAAAAGGACACAAAATACAATTTGTGGCAGAAATCCAATAAGCGTCATTCTCTATGTAAGTATATTATTTTACTACACTTCTTATTAGTGACTTGGAGTATAATCCGGTGGTGAATGGTTATCTTTTGTGATGAAAGATAGAATTTTTAATAGATTAATCACTTTCGAAAAAGTGTACGAGAAATATACTAACTAGTAAAATTACTGGTATTTCTGCTTTACAAGCATCTTATAATGAAGCATTCATCATTATATGATCTTATTAGCATCTGATCTTCAAATTACTACGTGGTATCTGATCAGGTTTTGGAGATTGGATGATTTTCTGTTGTATTTTTAGGCAGCGGAATATTTCCGTCAAATGAACAACCATCTAGCGGAATTCGTGTTTCTCAAGTACGCACAGTCTAATCAGGTACTCATTTAGGAGATATGATACTATGAAATTTAGTAAGGTTTCATCTGGAATCAGCTCAAAACTATATATGAAATATGTCAATTTGATATATCAATTATATGTAAATATGTCAATTATACATCAATTTGATTGCTCCACTGAATTACTTAAACGCAAACGTCAAACATACTATGTTCAGTAGTTGAAGAGTAACATCAAATATATAAGAATTATTTGTCAACTGTATCGCCTTTTATTTTAAGAGCTCTTTGGGAAGATTGGTTCATAATCAACACTTTAAACTGTCGTCGATAGGAATCGGTGTAGAGATGCTTTCTATCGTTTCACATTTTCTCATGCGTGATATAATCTGTAGACAATGTTGAATTGTATACAAATAGAGCTAGTAAAGTTCTATATCAGGGAAGATAGTTACGGATAGAGTAAGCAAACTTATCGTCTTAAGAGAAGTAGAACTTAAACTAATTCACTAAATCGAGCTGCATTGTCAGCTAAGACTTAGATTAAGTGTTGAAAATGTGTGCCATAGAGAGAATACTTTGTTTCTTCCCTCCAGAAAGTAAATTCGATACTTGATAAAGATTGCTGTACAATTGCAGAGTCGTAGCTTGAACGATTCATCCGTCTCATATGCAGCAGGTGCCCTTTTCATTAATCCAAGAGAGTAAACGAGCAATGGACGTTCGTTGTTAAATGTTCCTTATGAACAACGATAAAACGAAAGACCAATTAATATCAATTTAAAAACTGTCACCATTTTATCAGTTTGTGAATACGTGTGGTCTTAAAAAACATCTATAATACAATCTTACCAGTATCATCTTTCTTTTATTTTTCTTGATTAAAAGTCACAGTTTAGTGCTTTATCGTTTGATGAAGATAATATTGTAAAATCATCTTGTGTTCTTTCTTTCATGATGTAAAAATTGTTTGTCGCAGGAGTCTACACTTTTTCTGGATTCACTGTTGGCTACTAATGTTTGGATTATGCGATTTCATCTAATGTCTGATTTCAACAGTACGGCTTGACTTGCTGGAATATATTCCGTCGTAGAAATATCTTCATGTTTTTACACGCTTTGCTGCAAGTTCTGAGGTACAGTTTTCATTCTGAGATCGAAGCGCATTTACAAACCAATAGATGAAAAAACAAAAATGTAGAGAAGCACATACAAAAATATGCAAATGCGACTGAAACGTTAATGATTCGTTATCAAAAAGCAAAATGTACAAATTGTTGACATGACTGCGCTGTATTGCAAAACTGTGTCAATCAAAACATAGCAAGCTGAAAAATTGGTTATGAAAGACAAGTTATAACAGTTAATAAAGATAACTCGAGGTGATCGTGTAACATTTCAGGTAACTTAAATACATGAGAGCATCTCAGTAAATACTATGACTTAACGTTTCAAAAGGATTTTCCTTTTAAGGATGTTTCAAAAGGTTGTGGTAAAAAGAAAAGATCTTTCATTTCGTATGAAATAGGGAGCGATGAATTAAGAGGTGTGACTGAGTGACAATCATTGTGACTGGGTGATAATTATTTATTACTTCCAGTAGAATTCTTTTTTTTTCGTTGCTCGCTGCAACGTTCACAATACCATTTTCCCTTTGGTGCTTCCGCAAGGCCAACGCACTGGAAATGGAACCATTCTATAGGACACTGTTTGTTGTCACACATTATCATTTGACCATGTGAAACCTGCAAAATAGTTTTTTTTTTTTTTTTTTTTTGCAACAAAACCAAGAAACCCTTAAAATGCAATAACAGAATAAAAACTTAAATTTCTAACTTTTTTTTCAAAGTTGCAAGATAATAACCTGATGACAGATACAATAGGTGGGTTCGTTCGGGTCAACAGGCATTTCCATAACCGATGGTGCATCCAAAAACGGCTGGAATGGTGTAGAGACAGAAGCTGGAAAAGGATGTCAACGATAAAATGTAACAAAAACTCACTCGACTAATTGAATTTCGTGAAATATTTCCGACTACCATAGAAGCAGAAAGACTATTTATTTAGGCAGAAAGACTATTTATTTATTTAAGAAAAAACACTGACTGCTAGATTATAAAATAAAGGCATGTGGCGTATCTGGTTATTCTAACTTTCAGAAATAAAATAAGAGAAATGTGGTTCCAGTGTCAATTTCTGATTGAGGCTTCTAAAGTAAAGTGGAAAATACATACAATAACACCACGATATTTGCCGACAAATTCAATGGAATCCAAGATAGAATATTAATGAATTTATCGTAGATGGTAGTAGCATGCTTTGTAAAATACCTGTGCTTTTCTGAGACCAGCTGTCCTCTTTCGATTTTTTCTTATCCTTACGACCCGCAATACTTTTTCGTTTCCGATCAAGCATTTCATCTGAATTTAATGTAGGATTTCAAATCGAAAGTCTTTATCCCTTTCGAAACTACTTTTCTGGTAAGGAATTAGAATTTCACCTGCTCTTTCCTCACCAATCTCCATCACTAAACATGAAAGCGAACGAAATACTAGTTTATTTCGCCATTTTACAACCATAAGATGTGATAAAAATGGATTCAGTAGTTGCAGGAGGAAAGCATGGAGAGGGGCGATGTTGATATCAAAAGTGGAAATATTTCAATGTTAAACCCTTCGGCAAAACAATGATTCGAACTATGCTAGTTAACTGGAAATGCAGAAATCTGAGCACAGAAATTTCGATCACTCATACAAACGGATCAAAGACAAACTATACGTACATGTATAGTTTAGTTCACAATTACATACAATAGACATTCTAACATTTACCGCCGTTTTTATTAGTTTTTGCCACAGCTGCAGCTGCAACATCCAAATATTTTTGCCGTATCGTAGCTTGAAGTTTCACCGAATCATTATCCAAACGTCTGATATGTTTATCGACAAGTTCGTAAGTATCTGATGCCAAACGGATCTTTTCATTCGATAAACGCTCGATTTCCGCGAACAGTGTCTGTAAAAGTTGATTTCCTATGAATTGTACTTGAGGACAAAGACGTATTATACTTAAAGAAGAGCTTTTCTTTGAATTTCAGGTGAATGGATATTATTACCAAAATAACTGAAAGCGAATTGTGAATATTTCAGACTTAGAATCAGCTCAACAGATAATGACTACACAAAATAAAATGAAAAAAACAACAGAAAGTTAGCACAAATTAGATTGTATGAAACTGCGCCATTTTTCATCACTTTAACTGACGTTGTCAATAAAAAAAAAAAGATAACCAAACTATTCCACTGCTAAACATGTAAACATTTCTACAGAGGACCACCCGACCCAAAGTAGATCGGTACAAGGCAGATAGAAATCGGGGTAGTAACTTGGCAATACAGTTTAAAATTCATAGGTGCAGTCACGGTTACATTCATCTCATATTTCCGGTCCCAATTCACTGGCATCCAATTTCTTGAACTGGGCGATTTTGATGAAATGATAAAAGTGAAAAGAAAAAAAAGATAACTTGCCATGATTTCTTTATTAAACGCAGCTGATGCATTCTTCGGCATTTTTTGATATGATTTCACAAAGACCCTTAATTTTCGGTCGATCTCGGCTGACTTCTTATGGCATTCCATATCATATTTCCGAATTCCTTGCAAATTCTTGGCTAAATCACGAGGAAGTGTAGATAAATTATCCAAATAATGATCCAACATCTATAACTGACATTTATAACAGTAAATTATAAGAATAATAGTATGAAGATATTATCATAAAAACGATTGCTGATCATGACCCTTAACGATAATCAATATTGATCATCTGAACTTCAATTTATTATTCCAGTGAAACACAGAAGTGACTAAAAGTTGCGAAAACTATTCTCATTAACGTTCAATTTTAATCACCAATACCAATTCCAACACATGTCACGATTCGAAACATAAATTTTCTTTAGAAATCTAAAAAAGCCGCACATGTATGAAATCTGATATTATAAAACCAAAACAACCATACTTGTATAATATTTAGACTCGTCCGCATCTCTATTTAAATAATATATTCCTTCATTGTCAAATCATCATCAAGTTCAACTCTTCTGAGCTACTTTTCCCTTTAAATCAATAAATACCTAGACTCATATTTTATGCAAAGTTAATATAGTGCCACAGGAACGGGAGAAATCTTCCAGTATACGATCGAAAAACATGGAATTTTTAATAAGAAAACAAATTATTAAGCTTGCAAATAAAAATTCACTATGATGCCGGCTAGGGCACCATTTTCTTCATTTTCTTCCACTTTTTTTGGTTGCATGAAACGTGGTTTTCTAGAATACCACAATTTTCGTGTTTCGTATCATAAAAAAGCCAATGAGCAACTATTATGATAAGATAAGTAAACAGATAGTAAATACTTAATAAAACTTTTCTAACACTTCACGACTGGTTAAGCGTAATACAACACACGTAAAACACGTCGGACCAATCACGCGAGTAATTTCAAGAAAACAAGACGTTTTAAACAGCAGAATAAACCGAATGGCAAAAGGTATCTTTATGCAACTATGATAGCAATGATATGAAAAAACTTCGGTTCCGGTATAAATAATAATTAGTTGAAATAAATAGGGTTTTTTGATTTTTACCAACAACAAACTATGCCTAAATATTTTTAGAACATTTATTCAGCGCAATTGTAATACAATAAAATGTGCTACCGTATAGCTTCATATAACGTAGTCTAATATAGTAATTACATTGGTACGGTGTGATTGAATTTAGCAAAATATTAATGTGGTATATGAAATTAATGATAAAATCATCAATATATCTGATCAGTCATCGTAAAGAATTCAAATACACTTAAAACATATTTTTCTTATTAACTTAGTTGTGTCTAGAATATTTTTAAAAAAATTTCCATTTTTTTAATTTGTTAAAAATTTGTTGTAAAATTGTAGAAATAATTGTTGTAAAAGTAATAATTGTCCGTTTGTTGTAAGGGTTTAATTTATTCTAATTCATTGCAAAAGTATTAAATTTAATCTTGTCAACAAAAAAAAAAAACTTTTCTTTTTTGTATAATTTTTATGATATTTAGCTGAATTAAAAGTGTTATACCAAAAATTATTCTAATTGTCTAGTTAATTTATTCTAATTGAATAATTAATTCGATGCACTTATTTGTCTGTTCATTTAAATGAAAAAAAAAAGATGACAATAAAAAAGAAAAAGGCAACAAAAAAGTGATGATAAAATATAAGATAAATTAAAATTAAAACAAAATAAAGTGCAAAAATAATTTAAATTAAAATAAAATAGTAAATGGCAAAATTTATTTATCATAAATTTATCATATTATTTGATAATAATTATTGCAAAAACAATGAAGGAATTATATTTATTGAATGATATAAAAATAGCTAAATAGAAGGATTTACTTAAAAATGCTCACATTTTAATTGCTAAATATACAGATTATTATGGAGAAAGATTTTATTACATTAAAGGTACAGAATTATTCATTGATTTGATAATTATTGATGTGATAAAGATGATAGGATAAAATATGAAATAATCAATGCTTCCTAGTATAATTGATGAGAACCATAGCTGTAATGATAAAGCAGACAATGAATGAAATTATTACATGCAGGATCAGCACTGATAAACGAATTATCCTAACCTGAAATTAATTAAGTATTAAATTACAGGATTAGAATTAAATTTAAAATCAATGCATAATTCAATCATTTCCGCTACAATCTTTTTGATTTATTGATTCAATGTTTCAACTGGATTAAGTGACCTAATTGGATGACCAATGCTTCTATTAGTCCATATCCCCATATACTCGTATACACACATGCACACACACGCAGGTGTGCACACGCGAATCACGTACGAACACACAGATGCACACACATATACACATACACACACACACACATAACACCCACACACACACACATATACACACACACACACACACACACACACACACACACACACACACTAC